CGTCGGTCGCCCCGTCGGTCGTGGCTCGCGCTGGCCATCAAAGAAGGAAGAAGGAGGCCGCCGCGACAGCGGCTAGGACTCTGAAGACGCCCAGGGGACGGGAGGAGTCCAGGCACCGACGTGTACGAGCAATGCGTGGACAAGACTGCCTTCTGCTACGAGTCGTTGCAGCTGCAAGCCGCCTCAGCAGCCACCACAGCGCTCAGCAGCCGCAGCGCGACATGTCGCATGCTGCGGCCAATGCTGGCCAGAGAAAGAAGTTATTGGGCCCCGCAGTCGGAGAGAGCCCATGGCCGTGGCGTGCGCAGCGTGCGCGCCGCACCCAGCGCAACCAGCAGCACCAGACCAGCGCAGGGTGGACCCAGCAGAAGTGGCAGGGTTCGGTCTGGTCCCAAGGCCAATGGCAGCAGAGCATGTGGCAGGAGGATGCGCCTACCAGCAGACGCAGGCGCAGTCGCCGCCCGACAGGCGCCACAGCCCCAGCAGCAGGACGGCAGGCGCCCCAGCCACAGCAACAGAGCAGCTTCGCCGAGAAGCAGCGCGTCGTGCTCGACATGGTGTTGCCAGCACCCTACGAGGAGGCGCAGGGTCATGCGTCGTGGGGCTCGCCGCCGTCCGACCCGGAGATGCTCGAGGTCTGGCGGAAGACCCGCAGCCAGCGCCTGGTCAGTTTGGCGGACAGCATCGCAGGAGCCCGATCCGCAGGAGTGGCATCCACCAACCTGGAGTATGAGGCAGCGATCACGGCGGCGAACATCACATTCGTGATCCCACCAAAAAGGAGAGGCGCCGCCAGCTGCGCTCCACCCTGGAGCGGGCCGACGAGGAGCTCACCAGCCTCCAGGCCAGGAGAGGAAGGCCACGATGGGTCGTGCGGATGTACAAGGTGCTGATAAGGACGGGATGGCCACTAAGGTCGTGCGGATATACAAGGTGCTGATCCGCGAGACCAAGGGCATGATGGCGAGAACCGCGGGCCTTCGGAGTCTGAGGCTCAAGCCGATGCGGAGCAAGCTGGACGAAGCGGAAGCGGAGGCAGAAGACGTGCGCACACACCGCATCCAGCGGCAGCCATGCCCCCCAGGCCGACACAGCTGCAGGGCCCAGGGACCCCGCCAAAGGCAGCAGCCCGCCCTTGGCCACCAGCGGCTCCCCAGCCTGCCAGCCATCCAAAGGAGACTGCAAGGCTCAAGGCCCAGCCGATGTAGATGGAGCAGAGTCATGCGGTGAGACTACGAAGCTGCGAGCAGGCCATGGCCCAGAACACCTTGTACGCAGTATCTGAGCCACTGGAGCGCCAACAACGAGCTCACCAACGCGAAGTTGACGACATCAGGAGCGCCGCCCACCGCGAACTCGAGCGCGAGCAGGCCGCCTGCCGCAAGTGGCAGAGCGGGAATCAGCAGCACCAGCAGGACGAGGCTGGCGCAGTACTGCGGCAGATTTAGCGCCATCTCGCCGTGCAGGCCCAGGAGGCGCTCCAGGAACAGAAGAGGAGCTTCGATCAGGAAGTGCGAGCGCTGGTCGAGGCCCCGAACAGGGCTCGGCGATGCGAGGAGGAGCGCCTGCAGATGGCACGCTGGGTGCGAGAGCGCCGCCACCAGACCCAAGCAGAGCGGGAGGGTGAAGCGCTAGCCTTGGCCCAGCAGGCGCGAGCTTCGGAGGCGAAGCACGCAGCGGAGCTGGGCCAACAGGAGGTCCAAGTAGGACAAGCAAGAGATGATCCTCGAGTATCAGGCCAGACAGGCGTTCATGGAGACGCACCACGCGCAGCAGGGAAGGCGCCTCGTCGAGTTTGGCATGGGGCAGGCCGATGCCCCCCAGCAAGGCAAGCGGCGCATCGAGGAGGAGGAGGCCTGGCAAGCGCGTGAAGACCAAAGTCAGTGCATGGCTGCCGTCCGCCAGGCAGAGCTGGAGGAGCAACGTGCCATCCACCACCGCCTCGAGCAGCAGGCAGAGCGAGCGCAGCACGACGCCTACCAGCACCTGCAGTGGGCCCATCACAACAACGCGAGGAGGCACTGGGAGATGCAGGTCCGCCACGAGCAGGAGACGGCGGAGCTCAACAAAGCCCGCAGGCGCGCCCTTGTGTCGAGTATGCTGACGGACGAGACGCTGGAGCTTGATACCCTTCACGAGATGGCGGCTAAGCTGGCGGACGATGACGCAGTCATGGGCCACGACCAGCGCGCTGGCAGCCCAGGAGGAGGAGGACCACCAAAGGGAGGACCATCCTCCCCACTACTGAGTTCGAGCGCCCGCACCAGGACGCAACGGTCTACGCGTGCGAGCTTGCTGCATGCTCCTTCGGCGAGAGGTCGCGCACCTCGTCGAGGCCTTCGACGACGCCCGATAGCGACTTCAGCCTGCAGGACCTCGGAGTCGCGCCGACAGAGGCAAGCACGACCCCACTGCCGAGGGAGGCGCCGCCGCCACCGCCACCCGCAACTCCACTGCCACCACAGGGACCCATTCTCATAGAGGGCTCCCACATGGTCCAAGTCGGCGACACCGACGACGCCGATCTTCAAGACGAGCATCCACCACCGCCCACTCCGACGACCACTGACCTAGCAGAAGTTACCCAGACGATCGACGCCAACGCGCCCATCCCGACCGAGCAGCAGACTCCATGGGCGACGCCGTTCTCACCCGTGACGCAGCTCCCAACCCCGCTACACAAACCCGACTTACAACATGTCAACACCCCTACCACCAGGATCCTCGTCGACCTAAGCACCGAAGGGCAGGCAGCACCAGCCGTGCCACCAAGGATCCCCGTCGCCGACATCACGCCCTTCGAGGCCTTCGACCCCGAGTGCCCACCGCCCAGGTTCCACATGGGGACTCCAGAGAGGACATCCTCTGAGCCCCCGCTCAGAAGCTCGATGCGACGGGAAGCAGGACGGGGACGGAGGGTCAGGATCCGCGACGCGGGCGATGGTTCCGCAGACGCTGGTGACAGGCACCCCAAGTTCCCCGAGAGCGGCGAGAGCGACGGACTCGACGTCGCCTGGCTCACCCCAAAAATCTGGGCTCGAGAGCGCCGGCTGAGGGGCAATTGGCTCAGCATGGCGCCTACTACCCGACACCAGCGGCACCGCAGGACCACGAGCCCTGCTTCTCCGACTCGTGCAGTGTTGAAGCTACGCATGCGATTCCCTGTGACCCACGGCTCCTGACTGGCCGAAAACACTCATGCGCAACCAACCATTTCACCACCACGGACAGAGTCGCCGACGATGTAAAGCCTTGGGGTGGCCATGCACCAGACATCAGCGACAGCTCCACTAGGGAGTGCCTTAGACGTTCGCCTACCCACTACCGCCACAACCACGACAGTCTGCGACACACCAGCAACCAAGCCAGCAAAAAAAACCCAAACCATGAAAAGAGTACGGTTCACCAACAGTGGTAACCCAAGCCCAACTAGCAGCAGCGCAGACTCCACCGAGGCATCGAGGCGACTCCCCTCGGGCCTCACAGACGGCTACTGGCCACAACATCAGGGGAGCAATGTTCGTAAGCCAATACCTAGCCGATCACGCAGTCCAGCTGCACCAGTCGCCTCAAGAGTGCAAGACCTCGGCGACGCAGCTAACCGACGTCTACTCGAGATACTCCCTCAGGATGACAGTGGCAATCGCCCATTCAACCGAGTGACCGACAAGCCGTCCCAACAACCACCACCGATCGCCTCGAGAGTGCAATACTTCGGCGACCCCCTAGCCCGATGCCCACCTGAGCGACTCCCCCAGGACGGCACCACACCACCGCAATCCGCGCAGCACGGCGCACCAGGCCGCGCTGGCCACAGCGACGAATGCCGACCAGCAGCACGACGCCCACCGGAGACGCTCCCTCAGGCCGGCACTCGACGCCTGCAGCCCGTGCGGGAGCGTGGCCGAGGCCTCAGCGGCCTCGTCGCATGCCGCCATCGATCTCCCAAGGACGAGATCGACAGCCCGCCTCCCGCAGTCGGGCGGGATCCGCGGGCTCAGCCCACTCCCAGCAAGGCCTCGCCAGGGAGTCGCAACCGGCAGGCGACCAGCTATTTTAGCTCGAAGGCGCCCGGGTGATGGAGGAGGAGGAGAAAGAGGAGGAGGGGAGGAGGAGGAGGAAGAGGAGGAGGAGGAGGAGGAGGAGGAGGGAGGAGGAGGAGGAGGAGCAGGAGGAGGAGGAGGAGGAGGAGGAGGGAGGAGGAGGAGGAGGAGCAGGAGGAGGAAGAAGGAGGAAGGAGGAGCAGGAGGAGGAGGAGGAGGAGGACGAGTCGCCTAAGCCCTTCGGAGAAACCCTCCACCCGCGGCGGCAGGCACGTGGCGTGCCGACCTCGACGTTGGCTTCTGGCAGTGGGGCGACCGTTCAGCTTGGAACGATCGGCCTGTTTCGATGATCGTCGGAGCGTGTCTTAGCCCCAGCGTGTGTTCGTCCACCGAAGACCTTCGATACGACGCAAGCGATGTGATGATCTTCTGGTTGGGATGGAGGGGGTAACACACACACACACACACACACACATTGGGCTAACACACGTCCTAAGGATCATCGACTTTTCCGAGACGTGAGATCGTTCCGCATCGACTGGTTCTGGGTCGCCAACGGCGTTCCACGTTGAACGCCGGCCACCGGGTCGCCGCTGGTCGACACTACTCGAACCTACCGTAGGACGGCTGACATGCTGGCCACTACCACCAAAACTTCTCAGAGCTCCGTGCCCAAAGACCACCTCCCGAGCTGGTGGCACTCCGTTCCGGGCACTCTCTGGGGGCGCGCCCGGAACTGGATGCCACCACCTCGGGAAGGGGAGCGGCCAGCGCCCCTAGCTGGTGGTGGTGTTGGTCCTGCCTTCTCTGGTGAGCATTGAGGCTGGTGCCGCTCACGAGCCTCGCCGAACTGTGGTCACCCTGGGAGCGCGGGGGCAAAAGGGCCCTGGCGGACTTGTGCAGCTTGCAGAAGCTGCTCGCCAGGGTTGCTCGCCGAGACCCCCCCCCCCCTTCCGAGCCTGGGTCGTGCCGGCGGCGACCCTCTGGTCTTCTGCAGCGGGGGCCTGCCCCGACTGGCCGGTGTGGCCGGCATCGAGCGTGCCAGAGTTGGTGGTCCCGCCGCCCAGCGGCCTGTCGGCGACTCCAAAAGGTGTGGTTTGCAAGAGGTACGGTTTGCAACCAGCACCCTGGGGGGCACCCTGCGGGGCGGGCGGGGACCTCGATGGGATGCTCCGCCGCTACCCGAGGCCTGACGAGGACGGTGTCGCGCCCGCCTCCAGGCCCCAACGGCGCTGATCGCAAGCCACACCCCAGCGCGACCATGCCTTCTGTAGTAGCCGAGCCTGGAGGACGCGGCGGCGGTGGTCCCCGAATGGGACACATGTCTCGGGGGACATGAGCTGCCCACCTCACACGTCCTGACCATGCCAATCTTCGGTGGCAACTCACAGGAGTCTCCCATACCATCTTGTGGTCTCTTGCGAATCGACGCGAAATCGACGCGACTCGACGCCCTCGTGGCTTGGGCAGGGAAGCACACACACACACACACACACACGCACGCACGCACGCACGCACGCACGCACGCACGCACGCACGCGCGCACGCACGCACGCACGCACGCGCGCACGCACGCACGCACGCACGCACGCACGCACGCACACACACACACACACTCACACACACCGACACACACACACACACACACACACACCGATCCTGGGCACGCGAGCGGCCTGGCACGACGAAGGCAGCATCGAGACAGCATTGGATCAATACATATATATATATATATATACACATATTCATATATATATATATATATATATATAGGGCCGGGGAATTCGGACTAACCTAATCTAAGGAATTTCGGACTTCCCGGGCTGCTTGAAGCCCCCCCTGGGCTGCTCGGACGCCCTTGCAAAGGGTTTCTTCGGCCTTCCGGACTTCTCGGAAGGTCCACAGAAGCCTATTGCCCAAGACAGCTCGTCGACAGTCCCAAAGCACACCAAGACCTTCAACATTGCTTCCGAACGCCCCAAGAGGCCAAATTCATTGATTGTTCAATGGTGTTTGAATGCTTTTTCGGGCTTCGCTTTTCCGGGACAAGAACGGCCCAAGAGGCTCCAAAGATCGTCCCAACACGGCCCCAGAGGCCCCCCATAGGGCTCGAAAACTGCCCAAGAGGGCCCCTAGACGGCCCAAGAGGGCCCAAAAACTACCAAGGGAGCCCCAAGACGCCCCCAAGAGAGCCTCAGGAGCACCCCAAGAGGCTCCCAAGAGGGCCCCAAGAGGCCCCCAAGACAGCCCGAAGACGGCCGAAGGCCTCCAAGACGCCCCAAGACGGCCCGAAAGGGCTCCAAAAGGGCCCAAGAGAGTCCCAAAACGGCCCCAAAGGGCCCCCAAGAAGGCCCAAGAGGCAAAATCGTTCGAAGGTTTTTTCGGTTTTCGCTTTTTCGGACCACGAACGGCCCAAGACGGCCCAAGAGCGTTTTACATGGAATTTCCCCTTGTAAAGCAATTGCTGCACGGATGTAGGCATCGTTTAACAGTACATTACCGTGTAAAACAAGCGTCCAACGCTCTTGGGACGTTCAGACGTTGGAAGGCACTGTCATTTGATATCCATACGTACATACATACACATACATGCACATGCATACATACGCAAAGCAAATTCACATGTGCACACACATCCCCCATGAACGCATTTCGGACTCCCCCAGCTGCTGGGAAGCCCCTTCCAGGGCTGCTCGACCTGCTCGGAAGCTCCCCGGGGGCTGCTCGGACGCTCTTGCAACGGGATTCTTCGACCTTCCGGCCTGGGGTGTTCAGACCACTCTTCGCTTGAGACTCCCTCGCACAGCTGACTTCGGAGATGCCCTGCCCCATAGTGCTCGGGCCAGTTTCGCCTGAGACATCCTCGCAACTTCAACCTCGGATACGCCTTGCCGCGTAGCAATCAGACACGTAGCACTCCGACACGTTCACAAGGCCTCGAGATTGTTCCCAAAAGTTCTGGCGGCGCCCGTCGTTGAGTCCCTCTCAGGTCCTCCTGTCTTTTAACGCTCTCGGAGGCCAGCTCCCAGCGTCTTGCATCCGCGTCAGTTCCAGCCTCCATGCCATGACTTCCGATCCTGAGCGTTCGTGCCTGCCTGTCCTCGGGTCCGCGGGACTCCTTCCATTACTCTTTCCCTTCGCCTTCCTCCTTCCCACTGTCGGCTGAGACATCCTCGCAACTCTGACCCCAAAGAAGCCCTGCCTCAAGGTTGTCCGGCCACGTCCGCTTGAGACCTTCTCGCAACTCTGGGTTCCGGGGGTCCCTGAGCTGAGGTTTTCCAATTACTTTCGCTAGAAACATCTTCGCAACTCTGGATTCCGAGATGCCCTGCCGCAGAGTAGTCCGCCATTTTCACCTGAGGCATCCTCGCAACTTTGGATTCAGGGATGCCCTGAGCTGAGGTGTTCAGGCCATTTTCGTTTGAGACATCCTCGCAATTCCCGGTTCGGGTATGTCCTCAGCGGAGGTGGTCAGTTCACTTTCGCTTGAAACATCCTCGCAACGCTGACATCGGAGATGCACTGCCCCGTAGTAGTCTGGCTACTTTCGCCTGAGACCCTCGCACCTCTGAGTTGCGAGATGCCCTGAGCAGGCGGTCAGGCCATTACCGCCTGAGATGCGCATGTGTATGCGCACCCATAATTACATATAGGTGCGTGCACCAACAAACACCTGCGATTGACATATACATATACATGCACATGTTTATATCGAAAATGTATGCACATATACAACCGTGTACATTTGGTATACACATAGATATATGTGCAGAGCGTGCATGCGCGCGCGCGTGTATACATGCATGCGCGCATGTACACACGCACGCACCCCGCTTGCGTGCGAAACTCAGAGGGCCCAAATGCATGGCGCGCAGCGCTAATGTAGCCTTGTACCTCTATATATATATATGATACCAGAGAAAAGCCCCAAACATAATATTTTTAGGGCTGTAGGGCTATAGGGCTACAGGGCTAGATGGGCTCTTGGGCGCTAGATGGGCGATATAACTATATAACCATATGGGTCATAGGGCTATAAAACTATAGGGCTATAGGGATATATAGGCTATAAAGCTATAGGGCTACAGGGCACCGGGCACCCGGGCACCCGGCACCCGGCACCCAGGCACCCACCTGGGCACCGGGCACCCGTCACCCGGGCACCCGGGCACCCGGGCATCCGGGCACCCGGGCCCGGCCACCGAATCGGCGGCGAACCCGGGCACCCGGGCACCCGGGCACCCGGGCACCCGGGCCCGGCCACCGAATCGGCGGCGAACCCGGGCACCCGGGCACCCGGGCCCGGCCACCGAATCGGCGGCGCACCTCACCTACCCATAAATCCGCTAGGACCCCTACAGAGGCAAGCTCTGATTGGGGAATATATATATACATATATATATATATAGACACACAAATATATACATATAACTCGAGATCTCTAGCGGTGGGTGGGCTTGGAGGATTTCTCGGGCGCCGCGGCCGTGTCAGAACGTTCCGGAATGCCCTGGAACGGACTTCTTATCAAGACTCCAGGCCCGTCCGACCTGGGCCCATGATCGGTGAGGCGGCGGTTGACGTCCCCCGGATAGCCGGAGACGCCCCCCGTGAGGCCACGCTTCCTTGAGCTCTTCTGGTCGTCCTTCCTCTTGGGGGGCTCCTTCCCGCCGTCGCTGGATGGGTAAGGTTCGTTCATCGTGAAGAGGCACCCTGGCTTTTTGACTGCCTTGATGGGCAACGATAGGCGGGGGCTGGCAAATGGAGGGGAACATCGACCTGGAATCGGCAATACATCGACGATTGGGCCCCAGTAGCGAATCTGGACGTGCCTGGGCAAGCTGGAGCTGTCGGGCCCCTTTCGCCGATCAATAAGCGATTTGGGGGTCGATGCATCCCCCCTGTGCCTATCCCTCCCTAGCGTTGCCCCTGAGCCTCAGACACGGTCAGCGCGGACTCCCGGTCACATGCCTGCTGGATGAGAACGTGCTTAGGCACAGTGTCCATAGCGAACGTGTCGTAGATGTCCCACCCGTTGGCATTCACTTCGACGCTCTCCTGCGTTGGAGGCGCGGCGAACACCTCCTTGCTCTTGTGCGCGTGGTTGAGCGTCTGTGCGTGCTGCTCTTTGTACTGATCGCTCTCTGCCTTCGATGCACACAGCTCATCGTAGGCCTTGTTCCTTTGGCGGCGCGCACAGGGGAGCAGGGGGAGAGAGAGGGGGAGGCTTCCTGGAAGGAGGCTCTTTCTTCGAAGGCGCCGGCCCCACATCTGACTACAGATCTGGCCCACGCCTTCGCAGAAGCAGGGGCGCTTCGAAGAGGCCTTCCCTCCTCCCCCGACCCTCTTGCTGCGCGGGGGCCGACTCCTGGCGGACACGGAGGCAGAGTGCGGGTTGTCGAGCGCCACGCACAGCGACGGGAAGAACAGGAGCGTGTCCGTCTCGGTCTCCTGGGCGCGGCACCCCCGACCCCCCGACAGGGCGGTCCGCACCCACGGATCCGGCGGCGCGGCTCTGGCGGGCGAGGGGGGGGAAGTGAGAGGGAGAAGGAGGCCCTCTCAGGAGGCGGCGGGGCCTCTCCGAAGCCATCGGGCCGTCGGAGAACTCCCCTGCGTCCTCGGGGAAGGCTCGAGACGCCTCCTCGGAGGGCAGGGAGGCTCGCCGCCGAACAGGGGCCCAGGACCTCTCCACCCCTTCCCCAGGCAGCCCGCTTCGTCCCAGGTCTTACCAGCCTCGAACGTATCCCTGTCCCGAAGATTGACACGCCAAGAGGCGATGACAAACTTAGGGATTCGCCCCCCAAAACTAAGGGGATCCCTAAGATTGGCATCGTGGTGAGGAGGCGCCCAGCATAGGGATGGGGATACGTTCCGGGCTGGTGAAGGTTGGCCCCCCGACGGCCCCCAAACCCGAGGCCGGCCTCCGGAGGGCCAGGAGAGGGCGGCGCAGCGGCCACCTCGCGGCCCTGCTCGAGCCGCGGGGCCACCCGTGGTTTAAAGCGGGCGGCCGCTTCCAGGGCAGCGACCTCTTCCTCTTTTTGTTTGGGGGGGGGGCGCTGCTCCGTGTCGACGAATTTCCCCGCTCGCGAGGCCGCAGACCCGATTCCGTGCCGACCACCTCCGTCCAGGTCAATCCTGATGGCACGTTCGCTGGGCGATGCACGGGACGAAGTCACGATATGACGTTTTCTTCTGCCAGGGATGGCACCGGTGGAATCAGACTTTTTGCTGCGACCTGGCCCACCTCCCCACCAAACACAAACAACGGATGCACCAAACGTGCACCATGCTGACCAACCCGCGGTCGCTCCACTGTGCACTTGCCTAGGGCCTTTGGGACGGATGGTGCGGGGTGCTGACGCAACGCGTGGTGCGCGTTGCCACGTGCACTGGCGCGCCTGGCGCACTCTGCGCGCGCCTGGAGCACGTGGCACACAAAGAGCCCCTGGCACGCTTGGGCACACGGAGCACGTGGCTTACCCCGCGCGCGTGTGTAGCGTACCCAGCGAGCGAGGTGCCCCTAGCGTCTGTACAAGCTCACGACGGCTGTGCATCGGATGGCGGCCATAGCCTACGTTGCGTCTGCGGTGCTCCTTATGCGGGGGTGGCGGGCGAGCGGAACACTTTGTGCCGCTCCCGTTGTGTAAATTGGAGCAGGCACGAGCGGTCGGAGCGTCAAAGGTGCTCAAAGGGGCCCCGAGATACGCAAGACGGCCTCCAAGATAGCGCAGCGTTCTCCAATGTGTTTACGATGTTCTGCAGCTAGCAAGAGGCGCTCAGATGGCTCGAAAGGCGAAATCACTGAACAACGTGACAACCTTCATCATTGATCGCATTCCCGCACGCTTCCTTCTAATGGGCCAGTGGAGCCTAAATATGGACTCGAGATGGTCCCCGAGGTGGGCCTAGATGATACCCAATAAGGTCAGACGTCAGGCAACATCGTCCTAGAGGCTCCTAACCCAAATTGGAAGGCTGCTCGAGCTGACACAACCTTCGCATTGACTGGTAGTCCACCTTTTTGTTTCACGAGTGGTCCCCTGCTACCGTTTTCACGACAACTCTCCTGGGAACTTCTTATGGATAGGCTGGCGGGACTGCACAAAGCGTCATCACTTGCACTAGAGCTGAAGATGATCACTGGAGGTGGGGAGGGGGCATGCGAGAAGCTGTACGTCGTCTCCTTGATTCCATCCGATCTGGCGTGGGATTGTCTGTCGCCCCTGGCCCGAAGAACCATCGTAAATACCCCTGCCAACCACGTGACTCTTGCCTGAGGGGAAGACGAAATGTCATAAACATGATTTTGAAGGGGCCCTGGGACACACAAATAAATACACACAAATAACAGGATTCCCCATATTTTCCCATATTTTCTGGGTTTTTTGCCTTCCCCCCCACTTCCTATATTTTCCCATGCTTTTGTAGGGAATCGACGATTGATTGTGTCTGTGTGTTTTTTTCCCCTCCTGAGATTCCTCGAAGGCTCGGAGGTCCGTGCGGATTTTGATAAAGTCGGCGCTGGACCCACCCTCCCTGGCGCGTGCAGCGGGCCTGGGGGGGCGCCGCCAGGGGGGGCCCAACGCCGATCCACAAAATCTGCGCGGAGCTCCGACTAACTGTGCCTCTACAATGTCGTGTTCTTCGATGTGTGTGTGTGTGCGCGTGCTTGAATAATTGTGTGGGCATTGCTTGTGCCGATCTCCCCGAGCACGATGTCGATGTTGTGCTCCAGCTCCTCCTTGGGCACCGGCGCGGGCTTCGGCACGCGAGTCCTCTCGAATGGCGGTGGCGCCTGCGGAGGAGGCGCATCCTGCGAGGACAGGCACAACAGACTTGCATTAAGTCGGGCGTGTCCCCCTACAGGGGGATTTTCGACGAAAAATAAAACACATGCAGAAATATTCAAAAATGGTCAAAAAATAATAACAAAAATAGTCCCCAGACTATTTTTTGAGTATTTTTGAATATTCCCCCTGTAGAGGGACAGGCCCGACTTAAGACTTGCACCAACCGGCGGCCTGGCGGCGGCCCGCGACCGCGAACCGATGCCCACGACGCCCCCGGGGGACCCGCACATATACGATCGACCCGCGATGGCGGCCACTTCCCGAGAAGCTCGCCCGTGACCAACTCCCGCGGCGAGGTACCAACAGCACATCTTAGGGCCAACAAATGGCTTAAACATAAAAACTCGGGGGTCCGCGCGGATTTCTCGGATCCGCGCTGGACCCCCTGGCGGCGCCTCCGGCGCCGCCCTGGGCGCGCGGAGCGCGCCAGGGAGGGGGTCCAGCGCGGATCCGAGAAATCCGCGCGGACCTCCGAGTTGTTATGTTTATGCCACTTGTTGTTCCCCTATTATCGGTTCTACTCAACGTGGTGCGAGCCGAGCTGGAGCAATCTATGTGTGGCAATCTGTACGATGCAGTCTCTGGGCTGCAGTCGACGCGGCTCTGTCTGCGTGGTGGGATCCATGGATCCGGGCCCGTGTGGAGGAATCCACTGTGGCTCAGTAAATTTGACCTGCACCGTGTGTGGCAACCTCCCATATCCGCCCGCACGCCCGCAACTTCCCAACTGCAATGAAGGGGCCCTGGGACACACAAATAAATACTGGGTTTTTGTCTTCCTCCCACTTCCCATATTTTCCCGTATTTTCTGGAGAATCGACGATTAATTGTTCAAGGGGCCCCAGGACACACAAATAAATACACACAAATAAAAATATTCGCCATATTTTCCTATATTTTCTGGGTTTCTGTCTTCCCCCCCACTTCCCATATTTTCCAATATTTTCTGGGGAATCGAGAATTGATTGTGTCTGTGTGTTTTTTCCTCTCCTGAATTGTGTCCGTGTGTTTTGTCCCCTCCTGATGTAAGCATCCCACACGCTTGCCCGCAACTTCCCGCCCACGTCGGCCCACCCACTTGCCCGAACAAACATCTCGCCCACTCACCCGGAAACGCAGGGGCAAAGCTCACGCGGGCCGCACGTGCAGCCGCCCGTCCAGGCCTTGACAAGGGGAGTTTCCGGTAGCGCCGTGACGCGCGGGTCCTGCTCCTTCAGATCCATGGCTCGGCCGGGAGTTTGATGACGGTGACGACCACACAGGCGATGATGATGGCGATGATGATGGTGATGATGAGGATGATGATGAAGATGACGATACTGATAACGGTGATGGCAGTGGCGACGATGACTCGGACGACATCGGCGATGACGAAAATGACGTCGGCGGTGATGATGACGACAACGATGGTGGTGATGATGAAGACGATGGCAGCGATGACCATGGCGATGATGAGTAACCAAAATCATGATGATAATGATGAAGAAAAGTGCGCGCAGAAATTTTGAATGCCTGTTGTATTCCGTGTTGAAGAAATGGATGCTCCCGTGTTTCTGCACACCTGTGTTGAAGTCCTCCAGAAACAATGGTTTCGCGCGGATGTCGATATGCGCACGTGGGAACGCTCCCCGTGTGGCCGTATTGCATGTTTGCGGACGCGCAGTGGTTTCCGAATGTTGTCGACATAAGCGCGCGTGTGGCTCGCGTTGTTGGCACAGTGGCCACTGGCAGCTGGTTCTGTTGTCATTTCAACGAGTGCGAGCGCGCGCGCAGAAAAGGGCAACTTTTGACTTTGAGTGCGCAGATATGTCTTCACACGATTCGGGGAACATTGTGGTTGAGTGGTTTTGAATCGCGCGCCTGCAGCTGACTCATGTCGCCCGATTGGTACCATATGATGAGAGCAACGTGAGCGTACGCATTGTGTCATTGCAAACGATAGCGGGGGTGTCGATTCGGGCCTGGCTGGAATTGTACTATTTCAGTTACATGATGAAAGATCGTACATGGCAAATCTTAGAAACAACTCCGAAAGGTGCCGCGAAGCCTGGCCTCGGTGGAAGTGGTAGAACCAATCTTTTCACGAGAGAGAACTAGCAGTTGGCACCCGCGCGCGTCCACTTCCATGCGGCAGCTAAAGGTTGCCGACACCGCTAATTCTGGGGTGCGTTCTGGCCCGAATTTCGGTGCGAAGCCGGCGGTGGCGACGAGGGCCTCCAAGGAGGCCCAGACAGGTAACAAGAGGGAAAGGTAGCGGCATGGGTACCATTTTCTGATTGACCCAGGAAAGGAGCCCTCTCCCGATGGGAGGGGACCTAGGTTTATGTTGCTCCCATTGTACTTGAGGACCACATCCCAGAAATGATTTCGAGCACCCAGAAAAGTGTCGAAAGAGTGTCGAAACAGTGTCTCCCAGGGCCCGACACGGGACAACCCTCGAGTTTTGGGGCGTCCTCTTGGTGCTCGACATTCATCCTGGTGCTCAAGGCTAAACTGGGCTGGAACACCATGAACCCAAGTTAGGAGGGCCAGGAACACCATTGGGATAGGGGGCTCTCCTGCAGGAGCACCGAGCCACACCGCCCCGCGCGATGATCCCCCAATGCGGAGACGCGGGCCTCCGTGAGGCTACAGTAGGGCCGCTGAAAGCAAGGGCTCCCAGCTTCGCGCTTCGCGCTGCGCGAAGCGCGAAGTGCGAATAACTTCGCGCTCTCGCGCCGCCTCCCAGGGGAGAAGAGGAGGAAGAGGAGGAATCGAAGCCGAACCGCGAACCGCGAAGCGCGAATAACTTCGCGCCCTCGAGGGCGCCCTTGTGAAAGAAGGCACGCTAAATTAGGAACGAAGCCCATTCTCGGCCCTGCGAGCGCCTCCGTGGCCCAGGAGGGCAGGAGGAACAGCACCGGAGGAACCTTGAGGAACACCGGGCCCCTTCCGAACCCAGACCGCTCCCTGTTTCAGCGCCTTGACTGCACGCCCTCATCATGTTGTTGGGGTAGTGCGTTCCCTCCTCCGATGCCCATGCACGTGGCATGACGGCGGCGCGTGTCGCCGAGTCTTGAAGGGGCCCTGGGACACACGAATAAATACACACAAATAAAGCTATTCCCCATATTTTCCCATACCTTTGGGTTTTCGCCTCCCCCCCCACTTCCCATATTATTACTTTCCCATACTCCCTGGGGAATCGACGATTCATTGTGTCTGTGTGTGTTTTTCCCCTCCTGAGAGTTCCCTCCTCCTCATTCCCGTGCCCGTGGCACGACGGCGGCGCTTGTCGCCGCGTCTCCTCGCCGCCCGCGGCGCCGAGGCCCGCGGCGGCCGCCGGGGCCCCGCCGCCGCCCGCGCCCGGAGCGTCGCCGGGCTGCCCTGCCGCGCCAGCGGCGTCGGCCTTCGGCGGGCCGTCGCCGTCGTCGACGTAGTCGTCGCCGTCGTCGTCGCCGTCGTCGTCGACGTCGTCGTCGACGTCGTCGTCGTCGTCGGCGTCGTCGTCGTCGTCGTCGTCGTCGTCGTCGTCAGCGTCGTCGTCGTCGTCTTTGGCGTCGCCGTCGTCGTCGACGTCGTCGACGTCGCCGTCGTCGTCGTCCCCGAACCCATGGTTTCGGGCCCTGGACAACTCAAAGATCGGGCTGGGGAGAAAGACTACCCCCGTGGAAGCGGTCGGTACCGCTGGGACCGCGGACCTGCCAAAAAACACACACATACATCGACGGATGTCCGGGTCGTCGTCGTCGACGTCGTCGTCGTCGTCCCCTGAGATCCGGACGTTACATTTGTTTTCGCTCTGTGCGTTGTCGCCCAGTTTCACGCTGTAGGACAGACCATTGCATTTCGATCCATGTCGAAAGCGCCCGCAGAACGATTGAGTCTAGGGCTCCAGTCCTGAACGAGCGATCTTGAAAGTGTTCGCAACGTCGATTTCAGGGTCGTCGTCGTCCGCATCATCCTCGCCATCGTCCCCGTCGAAATTAGTCAGTCATCTTCCTCGTCAACGAGTCATTTCCACCAGCCAAAAGGCCTTGTGGGTCTGGTAGTGGGAAGGCACCAGGCTCTTCGGCGTCATGTCTCTGCCGTTGCACTCGACGCGGATTGTGGTGCCACCGCCCCTTGGTGTCCACCCTCAGACCCAGGCGTCGCATCACACAATCGCGGCCGCGAGCGTTTCGGCAACGTCGGCGTCTGAGGGCTGCTTCCCTGCCCGGGGACAGTCAAAAAACGATTCTCAGGTCGATGAGCCAGCCCTGGGGCAGACATTCCTGGGCGCCCACGCTACGACAAAGAAATGCGACGTCGGAGGGGGGGGGGGGCAGCCAGCCGCGCGAAGCCAGCGACCACGCCGTGGGCGAGCGGTACCACATGCTGGCCAGGACCTGGTGCTCTCGCAGATCAGCATCCCCTTTCATCCTGCTCCTCCCAGCCGCACAGCGGGAAACGCCGGTCGCGACGAGAGATGCTGACGCGACGACGTCAGGAGGCAACTCCTGGGAGGCCTTCCTAAGAACTGAGGGCGATGAAGCCTGATCAAGCGAGAGTAAGCCCGACCTTAGCGGGCCCTGGAAACGACAGCGCCGTTTTTCAAACCCTGTGCCCCTGATATTAAACCCCTGGCGATCATAAAGTTCGGCCTTGCCGCCCCTCTCCCCCTCTCCCCCGACCAAATCTGCAGTGGCCAGGGATAATAAACTGTCAGTTGTGAAAAGGAGGGTACTCTTTCTTATCCGGGGTCGGGGCTACGGGTTCCGCGTTGCCGTTTTGTTGCCAATTCCGACTCCGATTGTTTGCCGGCTTCGTCGCCGTTTTTGTTGCCGGTTCTGGCTCTGGTTTCAATCCTGGAACCGTTATTGTTCGCCGGTTCCGGCCGCTTTTTTTCGCCGTTTCCATGTCCAAGAGACACTTTTTCGGAAACGGTGAAAAAACGGCTCTGCCGTTTCCGGGGCCCACTGAGAGCCCGACTATAGGCCGGAGATAGGCCCAATTATATAGATCGGACTGGGCCAGACTAAGCGGAACTCAAATTGAATCGAGCGGGGGTAGGCCGGATCCGGCCCATTTTCGACACCGGATATACCAGCGCAGATGCTGAGCTTGTCCTCCCAGGAGTCGCATCCCGAACGAAGGACCGCTTCGGTGGCGACCTGGCATTTGCGCGATCGGCAGATGCTGAGCGCCGTGCCCGCCACTGCTGTTGCCACCTTTGGTGCCCGTGACGGTGCGCGAGTTCTGCGTCTGCCCAGTCACGAGCCTTCGAGGACGCACTGACACGGGTCAATGCACTCTGGGGTCCGTCAGGCTTGGCAGGATCCTGGACGCGAACCCGGGTCAGTGCGACCCTGGCTCTGCAGGATCCTGAAAGATCCGGCGCTCTGGCTGACCCCGTCTGTGTTGACCCTCGTCTCAAGGGTCCCGAGGCCTGTTGCTCTTGGAAGACCCGGCCGTCGGGTTCCCCGACCGGATGGTCTTCGAAGTGCCGGACTGCATGGCTGCGACCCGCAGCGGCCCCTGGGCTCGCGCGGATAGTGGAGGGAGGGGGGGGAGGAGGGCAAGGGGAAGGGGGGCGCCTTTGAGGCTCGAGCCAAAGTGATGTTGGAGCAGGCCAGTGGGAGAACAGGAAAGTCAGGAACGGGGAGTGGGGGGGGGGGGCAAGTTAGGCGCGCTCATATCTGACGTCCTACCCCTCCCTCCCATCCCTTACCATGGCGTAGATCTCCTCTCTATTCGCACAGTCGAATCTCGTAGCAGGGCAGAGCATTACATTGCATAGCATGGTATTGAAGATCAACGCGTAGCCTGACATTGCATGGCGTGGCGACGCCCCAAAGTGGGGAAGGCTTCTGCGGACCAGAAAATCAACGAATCGACACCGAATGTGTAATCACTTCCAGTGGTTTTCCGTGGGTGGGGGGGCATTTCAAAGTGGTGGGGGGTTTCTGCGACCCCAGAAATCAACGAATCGAAACCGAATGTGTAATCACTTTCGATGGTTGCTTCGGGGGGCCATTTTTTAGCCTTCGGGGCCAATTTGAAGGACAGATGCCAGCGCTGCAGCGGGAACACGATTCGGAACGAGCGGAAGCGCGGAAATGAGGCCACCGCTGCAGCGGGAGCACGCTTCGGAACGAGCGGTCGCCCGAAAATGAAGCCAACGCGTAACCCCCAGGACGACCGAGCCCCGTGGCTGCAGCCGCCCACCGCCCTCGAGCGGGCGGGGTGCAGGCCGCAGCCAATCACCCCGATGCAGGTGCTGGAGGCGCGCGGCCGATTCAGGCACACGACGGGACTCGGCGAGTCAGGATGGCACCCGCGCCTGTGGGGCGAGGGCGGAGTCCATGGAGCTGCGGGGATCGCCAGCGTCCTCGACGCGCTGGAGGCGAGCACGCCGTGGCCGCAGGCGCAGGACACCGCCCTTTTCGACCCGATGGCGAAAGTGGCAGGCGGCCCCCGCCACCTGGGCCTGATGCCAGAGCTGGCGAGGCCGTGGGAGACGAGCCGCACGCCGTGCGCCAGGCGCTGGGAGGGCGCACGCCGCAGGCCATGCAATTGGGCAGCGCGCGGGCGGTTCCGCGTGGGGGCCGCGTGGGAGCAGGCGCTGTTCTGCGAGCCCATGGTGGCCGAGGGCACGGAGTACGCGGTCACTTACTTCGACCTGGCCAAGTGCTTCTGAGGTCGCCACGCGCGAGAAGGCGCGGCAGGCGGTGGCCCACTCAGGGCTCAACAGAATGATTCTCAAGCTGGTGCTGCGCATATATTCCATGGTGCGCCGCGTCGTCCTGGACAACGCATGCGCGGAGGGCAGACGCTGGGCGCGCGGCATCGTGGCGGGAAGCCGCTCCGCGCCCCACTGTCTCAAGATGTCATCTTCGGGGAGCTGGGCGGTGTCGCCGCGGACTTCCCGCGGGCATCGCTGTGCCTCTTCTTCGACGATCTGGCGGTCGCCGCGAGGGGCGCGAGGCTGTTCGCTCAATACCGGCATGCGCAGGTGGCGAAGCGGCTCGCCGACATGTTCGAGCAGCTGGACATGAAGGTCCCCAAGGGCGTGGAAAGCAAGACGGTCACCATGGCCTCGGCCAGCGCGCTGCATGACGGGCGCGCCAAGCGGACGCGGCCACTGGGCGCCAGGATGGCGCGTCATGCGGACCACCCCCGCGTCGCCACCGCAGCGGGCAGGAGACGACGAGCTGGCGCCTTCAGGAAGAGGGCCAGCAAGTAATTATGCAGCGCGGCAAGACCGCATCGCGCGCATACGCCGTGCAGGAGGCCCTGCACAGGCGATCGCCCAGCAGGGCAAGGTGCCGTCTGCCATGTACGGGGTGCAGGTCATGGGCATGGCCAGCTCCACGCTGGCGCACCTGCGGCAGAGCGTGGCGACCTCCTTCAGGGGCAATTCCATGGGCAGATCCACGCCGCTGGAGCTTCTCGCCGAAGACGCCCAGGCACCCGCGCCAACGCGGAGCCTCTGGTCAACTGGGCCCTGGCGCGGCAGGAGGTCGACGGCCAGCAAGACCTGCAGCGTCAGCTCCATGGGGCCTGGAGGAAGTGGGTACATCGAGTAAGTCTACGGGTGCAAGGGCCAGCAGGGGCCTTCGCAGCGACGATCAAGAGATTGGGCTGGATGACGCAAGCAGCCCGCAGCATCACCATCGGCGAGGAGGTCTTGGACCTAAGGACGCCCCCGACCAGGGGGCTGAAGCAGCGTGTCCGCAGGGCCACAGAGGACAGCCTCAGGCACGAGTGGCTCGACAAGCACGGAGACACGCACGGCCTCGACAGCCTCTTCGTCGAGCCCGTGCAGGCGCTGCTCAAGAGGCCGCTGACAGGCCGATGGGTGCTAGGGCACCAGACGGGAGCGCGCAGCCTCTGAAGCGGAGGCACATGGCCGCAGCAGCGGCTCTTCGCCAAGGGCGCCGCGCAAGACAACATCTGCAAGGCGCGCCACGAGAGCGCAAGGACGGACCGCCACAGGACCTTCGCGTGCGCGGCCCGAGAAGAACATAGGAGAGCAGCCGGAGGGCACCACAAATGTCGCCGTGGTGCTGCGAGATGACCCGTGGCGACGGGGGCGCAGCTGGCGGCGTCCAGGGCGCCGTGGGGGCGGGGCCTGGCTCCAGGCCCCGCGAAGGAATACCACTTGTGGGACCTGCCCACCATGGGCACCAGCGACGTGGAGGGCGAATTCATCGGCTTCATGCACGGGGACGTCTACACCGACGGCAGCCTGCTGCACGGGGAGTACCCAGCACTTCGGCGAGGAGGCTGGGCTTTCGCGCAGCTGGACGACGCGCGCGAGCTGTAGCACGCCGTGTTCGGCCCGCTCGAGGGGCCGCAGAGCGACCGGTCGACCTGCAAGAGCGAGCTGGTCGCGATCGCCAAGGTCCTCGAACGGGCCTGCCCGCCTGTCAGGATCTTCTCGGAGCGCAAAGCCGCGATCGACGGGTTTGAGAGAGGGCCCGCTTGGGCCGCGCGCGCGGACGCAGCCCGCAAAGGGGTCTGGCTGCGCTGTTGGAGGCTCGCAGCCGAAAGCGGAGGGATAGGGCCGCAGGGAATCACGCTGCACAGAGTAAAGGCACGCGGCACCAGGGCCCAAAGGGCTCAGATGGGGCCACAGCTTTTCATAGGGAACAAACCCGCAGACGCCCACGCGAAGCGATGGGGCACAGATGAATCAACGAGAGGCCTGGCACAGGGCCGCGTACTAAGCGGAGAGCTGTGCGATTTAAGAGTGCCGGAGGCGGCTCGGTAGGTGAGAAGGAGGTCATTCTCTCGCGACAGTCCAAGTTCTTAGCTGCTCCCGGGAGGGGGGGGGGGCCCGAGCTCGGACAGATCATGGCACGCACCGCCCAGTATCTACAGACAGGCGAATATTTCGAGCGCGACGTCGTCGCGGTGGACAAGTCTCGCGAAGAGCTTAGTCAACCGCTACCGCTGACGGGCAGGAACAAGACAACGCAGATGCGCGTGGTCTTCTGTTACGACCCACGATATCGGACGCCCGACGCCGTTCAGACGGATGACCCCGTGCGCGGAAAGGCTTGGCTGAAGAGGACTCAGAAGGACTCGACAAATCCAGGCGCCCAGCCAGATCGGTGGCGGAAGGTGGGAGGTCCAGCCAGAGCGAAAGCGATTGCTGAGTTCAAAGCAAAGGAATCGGGTCCTATGCACGCGCGGCCCTGGGGCCGAACGCCGATCTGCTGCAGGAAATCGAGGTCGCTATCCCCCGACCACTGGTCAAGTATGCGATGTCGGCCGTGGGCGAGAACCACGCATCCGCCGCGGCGCCCGGAGACTATGTCGCCGACGCTGCGGTAGAGGATGAGACAAATCATCAGAAGGCCGACGCAGATAGGAACTTCGACTGCGCTGGCTGCGACGGCGTGAACGGCATGGCCACTGACCCCAGCTCCCATCCTGGAGACAAGACTGCATGGGACTCCGCGGGCGCGACCTGCGCGGCGGCTGCCGGAAGGCGCTGCGCCCCTCGCATGCCCCCGAGGCTTCGCAACGCGAGCAGCTTCCAGCGCAGGGAGGAAGGGGGCCAGGACTCCGACCGTACTGCAACCCCTTCACGGACAAAGGACTGCAAAAAAAACCAGAAGGATTGCAAAAAAACGAAGGATTGCAAAAACCCGAAGGGTTTTTTTGCAATCCTTCGTTTTTTTTTGCAATCCAGGGTTTTTTTGCAATCCTGTGATCGTTGCAACGCATCAGAGACTTTCTTTGTGCCGTCCAAGTCGCTTGCAGACATGTCCAGCGCTGCTTCTGTCGCCGGGCCGGTGACTGAAGCTGAAGCGGCGAACGGCGAGGACCCCCAGACGACCCACGAGGCGCCCAAGATGGCCTCAAGAGAGCGCCCAGACGGTCCAAGAGCCCTTGGAGTCCTCGAAAAACCGACCGACGATGCCCAAGAAGACGGTCCAAGGGGCCCCGAGTCACCGAAATATTGCTCCAAGACGCCCATGATAGTCTCCAGACGACCCTAGACGCCGCCGGGAAGCTCCAAGAGAGCCTCAGGAGGCCCTCCAAGAGGGCCCCAATAAGCAAAAATCGTTTCATTTCATTTCATTGGGAAAACGTGCATTCCTGGCATAGTCCAAGACTGCCAAGAGCCCCCCAAGATCGCCCCAAGACGGCCCAACATGCCCCAAAGATGCGCCCAAGAGGGCCCAAGAGGGCTCCAAGGCGGCCCAAGATGGCCCCAAGACAGCCCAAGAGGCGCCCAAGACGGCCCAAGAGAGCCCCAACACAGCCCCAAAGAGGGACCCAAGAAGGGGACCAGGAACCGAAAAGTCCAGCCTTCAGCCCCAAGAGGCCCGCAGGAGGCCCGCAGGAGGCCCCCAAGAGGCCCCAAGGGGCCCCCAAGAGGCACCCCAAAGCCCCTAAAGGCCCCGAAGGGGTCCCAAGAGGCCCCAACGCGCCCCCCCAAAGGCCTCAAAACTGTCTCCCAAAGGCCCCTGAGAGTGCAACCACGAGAGCCCAACCAACATCCGTGAGGCCTCTGACCCGCCACCCACCGCCTCTGAAAAATGGCAGCCGCCCAACCGCACCGCATTGACAACAGCACCCCGACAACCCACAGCGGCGAGGCAATATGGGCCGGCGGAATGAGCGAAGCGATTAAATTCGCCGGCCCAACGGGCCAGGGCGTGCTAAGATCTCCGGTAACTGGTTAACAGTATTAACAGTATTTCTAGTTCGCGCGCGCGGGGCGGCCCCTGGGGGTCCCCCGGCGAAAAGTACCCCGACCAACGCCCGGTCGCCGCCCGACCGCCGCCCGACCGCCGCCCGACCAAGTCTACTCAGAGATGGTTTTCCTTCTGGGTGCGGCCTCTCAGGCTCCCCAGAGCGCGCTCAGAGTGCCCCAAGAGGCCCCCAAGACTGCCCAAGAGGCCCCCGAGACGCCCAAAGAGCGCTCGAAGACGCCGAAGATGACCCCAAGACGGCCCAAAAGGCCCCCAAGACAGCCCAAGAGGCCTCCAAGACGCCCCAAGAGCCTTCCAAGAGGCCTCCGAAGAGAGCCCCAAGAGGCCAAAATCGTTGATTTTCATTGTTTTTTTCGATGTTTTTTGTGTTCTGGCTTTTTCGGCTTCCGGACGCTCCAAGACGGCCCAAGAGGCCCCCAAGACCGCTCCAAGACGGCCCACGAAGCTCCCAAGACGGCGCCGAAACGACCCAAGAGAGCCCTCAAGACGGCCCAAGTGCCGCCCAAGACGGACCAAGAGGCCCCAAGACGGGCCCAAGAGGGACTCAGGAGGGATACCGAGAACTCAAAAATGGAGCCCTCCGTCCCAGAAGGCGCCCAGGAGGTCCCAAAGAGGCCCCAAGAGGCCTCCAAGAGGCCCCAAGATGTCGCCAAGAGGCCCCAGGAGACTCCCAGGAGGCCCAAAAGAAGCCCCAGAAGGCTTCAAACATGTCTCCCAGGCGCCCCCGAACGGCCTCTCAACAGACCCCAAGAGGCCCCCCAAAGAAGCATCTTGACGACGACTCTATTTCGCCCCATCGAGAGACGACCCCCAGGGAACTGCTTCACCATCAAAACTCCCCACGCAACGCGTCCGAACGACACCCGCCCCCAAGAGCGCAACATGGGCAACGAACACACAGACAAAAACCAGCGATGCCATATCACGGGCCGGCGGAATGAGCGAAGCGATTCAATAAACAGAAAGCTCCCATGCCTTGCTACCTTGCAGACTCCGCTCTGGCTCAAATCGGCGGCGAGCGAAGGGGGACGTGCGACGGAAAGACCTTCTTAGAAGGGGGCGGGGCTTGTCAGAAACGCTCCGGCCTCCTGAGAAGTTTTCTGCATCTTCGGGGGAGGTTTAAACATCTGAGAAGGCCCGCCCCCTCTCACTTCCACCCCCGCCGAAAGCATACTGGACACGTGCAATGCCCATGCCTCAGCAATTCTGTGACGTACCGCGCTGCAGAGTCACACGCGACAGACTTCGAAACCACGCGCAGCAGCTCTCAGGGAGATGGAGGATGCGTCGCCAACCAATCGCCCATTTATCGCCGAACGGGTACTGCGCCACCTTTCCCGCCCCATATGGGACCTGAAGGCGCAGGGGTCAAGAGGTTGGGGGCACACGTATCGAAGGGTGGATGTCTGGGTTCGCCGTGCAGCCTCATACCCATCCACCCTGTTCTCGTTCGCCGTTCCTCCCCGCCTGTGTTTTGTGCGCCTCGTCCGTCACGGCCAGCTCTGCAAGCCTGCACTGTCCGCGTGCCCCTGCTTTCGTCTTCGCCGTGCGTGCGCAGAGGGCTGCCACCGTGTCAAGCCGAGGCCGGAGAGCGAACAAGTGGCGGATCCTGGAGACCCTGAACCCAAAAACGTGTTCTGTTCACCTTCTTGGGTGTGCATCTCTTACTTCCGCCGCCCACCGCCGCCCTTCCGCCGGCGGATGTGGCCTCGTTTCTACTTCCGCCGCCCTGCCGCCGCCCTGCCGCCGCGGAAGAGAGATGAAATCGCCTTCCATCCTCGCAGTCAGGGCCTTCCTGGAACGCCCCGAGTGGGGGATAGCATCGTTTTTTTTGTTTTTTCCCCAGGCCCACGCCGCACTGCGCGAAGGGCCGCCGCGCGGCCGCCCCTTGCGGGGCCCGCGCCTCACGCGGCGCCCAGGCGCTGCCCCTGGCCCCCGAAGGTCTGGAAGCCTGCGCCCCCGGGGCGCGGCCGGGCGCTGCCTCCCATCAGCGGCCCGCCCTCGCCCCGCTCCGCGGCCCACGGCGCGGGGGCGCGGCCCCCCGCCGCCGGGCTCGGGACTCCGAGCTGGCGGACCTCGCGGTATAGCCCCCAGGCGAGCCCTGCGCCCGCCAGCTGCGCGGCCGGGCTCAGCAGCCGCACGGCGCCGGCGGCGTTGTGGAGGCCCGAGGCCTGGCTCGACAGCAGCGGGGCCTTGGACTTCACAAGAGTGTCGACCAGCAACACACAGTCGAACATCCCGTTGACAAGCCCCATGAAGCCCCAGTAGCACAGGAAAGTGATGTGCATGTCCTGGTGCCACCCGTACCAGCCCAGGCCGATGCAGATGGCCACCATGAAGCCGCCAAGGATGTCCAGCAGCAACACCATGCGCAGCAGGCACAGGACGGACTGGACGATCAGCACGGCCAACACGAACGGGCTCTTTGATCTCAAGCTGCTCGGCGTTGGCCCGCCGGGCGTAGGCATCGGTGGCAGCGGGATGAGCATCCTGTCCAGAGCTCGATCGATGCTGCTGTTTCTGATGGGCGGTGCGCGGAGCCACGCCCTCGGGCGAGGCTTCCTGCAGTCAGGAGAACACCACGGGCGAGCGGAGACGGATCTGCATTGCGGCGGGGCGCGGCTGCGCTGTGCGAGCAGCGGCCAAGGCTTGAGCAGCCAGCGCCTTGAGCCAAAATGGCTACGGAAGTGGGGGATAGCATCGTGCCAGAACTCAGGGACCACCGCCGCCAGCGGCTCGCCGTCCCTTCTCAATCCCTCCTGGGCTCGCCGCCGGTCCAAGGAGCTGCGCGGGCCAGCGGCGTGCGCAGCAGGCGCGCGGGAGCACCACCCTCCAATGCCTGCCCCCGGTCGCCTCGCCTGCCGCGACCCCCCCACCCCAACGAGCCCCCCCACCGTCGGGGTCAGATCGCCGATCGGCTGCCGATCGCCGTGGGGGAAGCGGGTGCCGAGGGCAACGGGTCCTGAGGCCTTTCCCCGTCTTGAGGCTTCCCGGGGCCCTCCACGGGCCCCAGGACTGGCAGGAGACGGCCCAGGACGAGGAACTGATCCCGGGGAGAGCGCCCCAGGGTCCAGGAGCCGCTGCCCTCGAGACCCGTTTCCCCCATGCTGGATTCAAGCCCAGGTCTCCGACGATCCAGTCCGAACTGATAGCAAGGATGCGCGGCACGAGCGCAAGGGCGTTGGACGCCCATGCCGAAGCTTTTCGAGCGGCGCTGGCCATCGAAAGTGATTCAGGACGGACCGCAGATGACCGCGGAGGCAAGGATACATCACATGGGTACCCTTGAGAAGCCGATCGTCCTTCGTATCAGTTTCGACTGCACGCTGCTTTCCACCGGCGGGATTCCCTCGATGCCCGCCCTCGGCGGGGGGGCCACTTTTCCGAGGCGTCCGCCAGGGGGGGCGTCCAGGAGGCTCGCAAATCCCGGCCCGAGGCCTGCGCGCGGCCCAGGGGGGGGGGCCTCGCCCAGTGCGCCAGGGAGGAAAAAGGCCAGGAAGGCTGGGGGTGCGCATCGTGGCCCGAGGCAGGTGCGCGGAGGAAAGGGGGGCCGAGGGACGCGTGAGAAGGAGAAGAGGGCGTGCGAGTAGAATCTGGGCGATCTCATAGCCCCAGCCATGGTATCCCCCTGCCTCCAACATGTCGGTGGTGATGATGATGCTGACGCTGATGCTGGTCCTGGTGCTGCTGCTGATGATGATGCTGATGATGATGATGATGATGATGATGATGATGATGATGATGATGATGATGATGATGATGTAGATGATGATGATCGTACTTATGACGGTACCGATGATGCTGCCTATGATGATGCTAATGCTGTTGATGTTGATGATGATGATGATGATGATGATGATGATGATGATGATGATGATGATGATGATGTAGAGCATGAAGATAAGTAGGATGATGATGATAATTGTTCTGATTGTGATGATGCTACTAATGATGATGATGAATTGAATGATGGCCTTGATGATGATGATGCTGATCAGGAGGATGAAGATGATGAGGATGCAGATGATGAATATAATGCCGACGACGACGATGACGATGATGATGCTGATGATGATGACGATGATGACGGCGACGATGATGAGGAGGAGGATGATACTAATGTCTGAATGGACACTCGTACATTCGCGGAACAACTGGACTGTCGCAAGACCTTTGCAAGCGAACGCCACAGCACTACGCGACAGGTAGCAGGCTGGGCGATTCCATGCAATGGGGCAAGACGAATTTCGCAATGGACTTTATCCATATCGCTTTCTTGATCACTGCGGCCGGCCCGACAGGCCGACGAGCTATATTGAAAATTATTCGCAGCAGCTACACAATCAAAACAAAACAGCACACCGCTTAACGGGAGAAGACACAGAGCCAGATTCCCTGCCCATGCAATATGCAGCAGGGTGCGCACCTGAGGCAGGGTGCAAATACAGATCATGGCGCCTCGGCCTCGACCTTGACTGGGGTGTGTGGCAGGTTCACGGTCATGTTCGACCTGTTGATCTTCTCGAACTCGCCGCCACCGACTGCGTACAGGGGGCTAGTCACGGAGGAGTTGGGGTGCGTCATGCACTGCATGGTGCTTTCATACTTGCAGCACGTCTCTGCCGCGGTCCTGAAGGCGTGCGTTCCCTCGGTGAGCAAGACGCACTTCTTGTAACACGTATTCAGCCGCATCTCCTCGTCCGCGTAGCACGCCCCTCTGGCGTGGGGGCACGCGTTGTTGGCCCTCTCGCCGGCGATGTCGTACCCGCCGCACATCGACATAATGAAATGCGAGTTTAACAAAGTGCATGGTGTCGCCTTGCAACACGAGAACGCGGTGCCCCGAAACGGGTACACGCCTCCCGTGATCAGTGAGCACTTCTTGTCCACCACCCTGCCGCTTGGCACGGAGTGGGCGT